TTTTTTTTTTTTTTTTATTAGCAGAGCGGGATTCTAGACACAATCAAAGAGAAGATAAAGACTCTGTAACTGTAGATATTTGCCCCATATATTGATCTCATGTGTTTCTGTTCATTGTGCTTGCACTTTTGAGTCCTTCAGCCTAGCTCGTATCTTCTTTAAAAGGAAAGGACTCTGTTCTTTGTCAAGGAGGGAGAGGTGTCACACTGTTCCTTGTAGTCAGAATGGGATAATCAGGTGTCTTTGAAATTAATTGCGAGTCCAAGGACCTGAGCTGTGAGTCATGCCTAGACAGGTCCAGGCTGTGCGGGACACAAGGATGCCAGGTACACAGCCGTCGAGTCCTGACTGATTGCCTTTTCTCTGAGCAGCCCTGGGACTAGGCAGAAAGGTAGCACCTGTGCAATGTCCTGGGGTCCCTTTGCTTCGTCCCAGCAGCTATGTGTACATACCAGGAACTGCTGAAAAAGGTGAACAGGCATAAGCCAGAATCTTGGCATTTTGCCCTGGCTGCTGTAAGGGGGTGGGGGGAATCTAAAAGTGAAATCTTCTATAACTATGGGGTTAATTAGAGGCACCTGCCTGGAATATTAGCTATATTTATTTTCTGCTATACACAGATCCTGGCTTTTATGAAAAGTCATTCTGAAAGGCAAAGAGTAGAGTAAGATGAAATCAGTCCTTGGCTGACTGCTAAGCCGTTCAGCCACAGCACCCCTTTGCCTCACCGGGGAGGTTGATTTCAAGCAAGGAATGAAGCTTAAACATCATTCAGTGTCTCATTGTCACTTCGCACCCCCCACAAGAGTACGTAACACAAAGTAAGAGTAAGACGCACAGTAGAATCATTTAATCTCCTTCATCTGGATTATCCACAGCATTCTGATGTTCGCCAGTCCCATGACACGGAGGGAGAAACTGAGGCAATAAGAGACAGGTCAGAGGCAGGCTAGGGGTAGAACTCCAGAGCCCCTGAATGGCTTGACAAGTCTCCAAACTGAAAACTTCTCAGGTTGCTAGATCCCTGCAAATAAGTTTCAGACCAAGGAAAGAAATCTGGAAGGAAGGAGCGTCTTCCAACGGGGTGTTGCTGGAACATCCCTTCCGGACACTCTGTCTCCCCCTCTTTGGCTGTGATTTCTCCTTTGGAAGCTGGGATTCCCAGACACTGAATACTCTCAAGTCTTGTGGTTTTGCTTTATTTTAGTTTTGGGTGGGAGACGGGGTGAGGAAAGGGGAGAGAGAAGGGGCTAGGCTGTAAGTTAGGTGGGGGCAGAGAAAGTGTAGAAGGAAATCCTTACTCTGGGGCCAAAAGGAAGAAATAATGAGATGATTATCTGATCAGAGTTGGCAGCTTCACAGTTTTTCCCAGATGACATCTTCTTGCTGCCTAATCTTGCTTCCTAGTACCCATCTGCCAGGGAAACTGCATGCTTGCAGTCTAGACTGAGACCCACATTTCTGCTTGCCCCTCCTCTTGCAGTAGCAACAGAGGGACCTGGGATCAGTTCCCTGGCTGTGAAGAGTTAGAGAAGGATCCAACAAGAATACATGTGGGAGGGACTGAGGGGCTATTGCTTTGGGTTATTAAAGCTCCAACCTGGGGAAAAAAGACTCAGCTCTGTGGGTACCTGAGTCCTGCCCTGTTCTCCCACGTTTCTGTCTCATGGTGTGCACAGAGGACAGCCATGGCATGATTCCCCCAGCTCCACCACCGTGCACCTCCTTACCTTCTCCCACCATCTGTCCATCACGATCAGCTGCCTCTGCATTGCCAAAGCACACACTGTGAGCCTGCTCCGAAGTGCTCCTCTGAACTCTTTGAACTTCTGTAAGCATGTAAAATGGGTCAGAAAAGCGTCCACAGACAGTCTAGGTTTGGACGTTTCCTTTCTTCAAGTCCAAGTGGTCCCTGTGGCATGCCTGGACTTCCCCTGTAGGTCTCCTACAGGAGGGCTGAGGATTGAGAATGCCCAGGTCTTTTTTCTCCCACCCTGCCCTGTTCTTCAGATTTGTGCAGAGCAGGAAGTACACATCAATAAGGACTTAAGGTAACAGTGTGTCAATGATAGGGTTTGGAAACAAGGTGTTCATTCTTTGGGATTCCAGAAAGGTGCCTCTGAGAATTCAGGCATGCTTGTCTCTTCTTTGTGCTTGGCTACTTATATTTTACAGTGGACCTGATGGCTGAGAACCGTTAAATTGCCAAAGAAAGTTCTCCACAGAAGTAAAGGACTTCAATTTGCAATAATTTATGAGCACCTATCAACAGAAGCCCATCTTTTCTCTCTTCCTCTAACCTTAGTTCCTGAGCTGGTTACTGTCTGTTCTTAGGACAGTTGGTCTTCATTTAGGCAGACGCACAACATAGACTTGTGTTCCTGGGAACTATAGACGATCACTTTGGTCAGTTTGACTACTGCATGGACAGTCCAAGGCGCTACAAGACTTGGCTCCTGTGCTCCTTCCCAACAGTTCTCAAGCCTCAGCTTCTAGCTATTTAACTTAAACCGAGTTTCCCAGTCCTCCATCTACCAAACCTCCGGTATTTTCCCTTCAGCAGAGATGTCAAGCACTTCAGCCAGACCAATCCTTGTAGAACACTACCACACATACCTCCCCCTGGTCCCCCTCCCAAGGACCTCAGGGAATACTTCCTACGAGGGCACTAGGTGGCAGTGTTGCACAAGCCAGGAGGAGGCCATGTAGTGGGGGAACGCTTGATTTCTTGGAGGACTGTCCTGCTTGGTCTCTAGGCTGCAATTTAATCATCCTCTCCCAGAATGTTGTTGGTAGTCATCCCTTGGGATCAGCTTCATTTAAATCTTGTTTTCAGGGCCTATGTGAAAGGGCTAAGGTGGCATTTTTGAGGTTGTGACTAACTTGTACTACTAGCAACAATAAGGAAAACAAAACCAACTAGTTACCCTCTCTCTCCACATTAAGAGCCCATATTCTTCCCAAACAGGAAGTTAGACTCCAGAATGGATTGCCAGAATGCTTTCACTGAGGGTCAAGGGCACTGCAAGGCTCACAGAATTTTAATACTGATGGTCTCTCTGGCCTTTGAGTTGGGGAGTAAATTGGGGTACATGGCCTTCCTGCATGGTGGCGGTTGTCTATTTTACACAGCTGAAGCAGATCAACCAAGGTCAAGGCCAGGGGGAGAATGTGTGCCACTGTTCCCCTGTAGGGTTCTCCATGATAGCAACAGTCAGGGGCCTGGGAGGTCAGAGCACTGTGGCTACTGAGGAGTAGCCTGAGGTCAGGAGCCCATTCAGTGGGGCTACTGGGACCGAGCAGCACAATAAGCCAAAATGCTGTCTTATTTGGTGTGAACTCTTTCAGCTCCAGCACCCAACCCTGAAACCATCCTGTTTCTTTCCCTTCTTCTCAACTTCCTTTCCTCTCCTTCAACCCCAACATACACAAAAGAGAAAGTTTTAATAGGTTCCTCTGCACCCATAATTGATTTCAAATGTTCCCTGACATTGCCCAGCTGAGTAACCACCTGCAGCTCCAAGTTTCAGGAGACTGAGTCACTAAGTCCTTGGCAGGATGGGAGCCTGAGCCCCGGTTTCTTCAGCTGACAAATATTTATTGAGTGTCTTGCCATGCAGAGCGTGGCAGGTCATTGTGGGGGAATACAGAGAGATCTAAGAAACCGTCCATGACATGCAGGCCGATTTTACTTTCCTCAGTATCCAAATGTCATCCCATGCAGAGGTTGGCGGCAGGCAGATGGAATCAGATCCCTACACTGATCCTTATCAGAAGTGTGATCGTTGGCAATTTATTGAGGTTTTTAAAGCCCTGGTTTCCTGTAAATTGAAAAAGAATATGTATAAATACATGACTCTATTTAAGTAAAATTACAAAAACTCTGAAAAGTGAAAAACAATAAGAAGACAAAAGACAGAATGTCTTGCAGAATTGCGGTGATATTTAAATTAGTCACATAGATAAAGTGTGTCCAAAATGTAAGATTCTTTTCATCCCCAGCTCTTTGTAAACTATTTTTATTTGATAGGTCTTACTGAGTCACTAAGCTGCCTGGGCTGTCTTGGAACTTGCAGTCATCCTGCCTCAGCCTCCCAGGGTGCTGGTATTACGATCACTGGGATTTATTGATGACCTGGCATAGATTGTCACTGGGAGGACTCCATTGCTAGGAGCAGTGTATTAATTCACTCCTCTTTGGTTCTAACTCATTAAGCTCTAGTTTTCCCCTAGATGAGATGTTAGCTTTAATTCTTTAAGAATTTAATTTGCTAATCTGTAAAATAGGAATGTTGGCAAATATGTTTTCTTACAATAAGGCATTAAGATAATTAGAAATGCTAGAATCAGAGACTCAAAAGAACCATTTACTTTATTTTTTAAAATATCATCTGTTCTTTTTCAGCCAGATTGGTATATTTCAATAAAAAAAAAAAAAAAGAAAAAAAACTGGGCAATGGTAGTAAAGCTTCTTTGGAAGCATAAACACTTTTGAAAATCAGACGTATGCTATGCTTACTCCTTCGATCT